ACAACAACAACAACAACAGCGAAATTCACTGCCAATCACCATCAACGGGAGGGATTTGAAAGAGGTCACTTCATTCACTTATCTAGGGAGCATTGTCTCAACTACACGAGGAACGGACGAGGATGTCAAATCGAGAATCGGGAAGGCGAGAAACACATTCATCAACCTGAAACCAATCTGGAAATCTTCCTCACTCAGCATCAGCAACGAAATCCGGATTTTCAATACAAACGTCAAGTCAGTCAGTTCTTCTATACGGATCAGAAACTTGGCAGCGGGTCACAAAGAATATTTCCAACAGCCTGTTGCAGGCCTTTATCAACAGCTGTCTTCGCTCTATACTGAAGATCAGATGGCCGGAAAGAATCACCAACAAAAAACTATGGGAACGAACAAAACAAGAACCAATCGCCAAGCAACAAATATGCAGGAGAAAGTGGAGATGGATTGGACACTCGCTGAGGAGGCCGTTGGGTGACATCGCGTGTCAGGCCAGTGCTCGAGTGGAACCCGAAAGGGAAGCGGCGAGTGGGACGTCCAAGGGTGACATGGAGGAGATCGTGTGAAGAAGAGTTGAAACAGTATGGACTAACATGGATGCAGGTGAAAAGTACAGCAGAAGACAGAAGCAAGTGGAGACGTGCAGTTGAAGCCCTATGTTCCACTAGGAACCCAAGGGAATAATAATAATAGAAATTATCGTTATCTTTCTTTTTCACTGAGAGATGAAATTAGGCACTTCTGACCAACTGGAGTTTCTCTCACTAACCCGTTTACTTTTGTGAACTAATAATAACTAAAGTACAAGTAAACCTATCAAAATTATGCAATTAAGCCCAATTCCTTTTTTTTTCTTTTTGGATTTCACACACACTACTTCATATTACATTTACCATGATATCTTCTGGAAATAGATATTAATAAATGCTCAAAAAGAATATTAATAATAATGATTTGCTTTATTCCAAAACAGTACATGTGATACAGAATGGAATTCTCAGCATTTTTACTACAGTATTGCATCCAGTTAGTACAGTATCAATAAATAGAATTCTACATAGATTAAGTAAATCTCAGTTCATTATGACAACAACATATTGGCTTGTCGGTAGCAAAGCCAAAGTTAAACAGTGTTTGAAGGTGTTACGAAAGTAGATGCTGTCATATTTACTGGCGTAAGCGGAAGAAAGAAACAAAGCAGCGCATAACGGAAAAAAGAGAAAAAGATAGAGAAAAAGGAAAGAAAATGTTGTACCTATAAATGATATGAGTTGGAAAGACGAGGTCCAGTTGTTCTACTGACTATTTAATGAGTTATAGGTATCACGCCTAATGCTTTCTTTATCACACAGAACACGAGCTAAGTAGGGTATGGTTGAGTTTTTGTACTTGCTGGTGCGAGCATATAGTTTTCTACATAGGCTTCTGGTTTTGCCTGATGAGATGCAAGGGGAGAGTTGTGAATGAAGAGGGTGGTGTGAGTTAGATAAAATGGACTTGGCCCATTTTTCACATGAGTTCATGTGCCTGTCGACCAGAATATTAACAAGCTGGTTAAGTGGCACGTTGCTTACCCTGCTAACAGCCTTTAACATCCTGCGTAATATGTTATAGTCTTTCTTCAGTAGCCTGGGAAAAACTAAGGGGGAACAATAGAGAATAATAGATAGGCAGAATGCGAGAATTGACGAATTGTAGGATTGTTGGGTTATACCAGAATGTCTTAACTTCCTGATGTAGAAGGTAAGACGGAATATTTTATTAGAAATCGCCAAGATATGAGACGACCAGGAGAGATCAGCAGATAGAATGACGCCTAGGTATTTAATTTCCGACTTGGTTATTATTTCAGTGCCATCTATGTTGCACACCTCGTGAGAGCCAACCAGTTTGTTTAGGTCGGATTTATGCCTAAAGGTGAAATTGACTGTTAGGCATTTGGAGGGGTTTAAGGTAAGACCGTTTTCCTTGAACCACTGGCTGATTTCTGACAGAAAGCCATTAAGTTTAGAGCAGTCACTTTGACATTTGACAGGCAAAGATACTGTCAGGTCGTCAGCATATTTGACAGAATTTATGTCATTTGAATATGGTAAGTCATGTAGAAAGAAAAAAAGAGAAGTGGAGAGATTACAGCACCTTGCGGGCACCAGCTTCAGTGAGCGCAGCGGATTTATGTAAACCACTAACTTACTATATTCTTTTGTTCATCAATAAGCCACATCTGATATGTAAGTGCAACTGATACTAAATAGTTATCTAGACATCATTTGATGAAAATGGGAAGTTAGATTTGAGGTAACCTACAAGAGTCAATAAACGACTATTTAAATCAGTGGCTTACAAGCTTACTTAGGGCTCAAAGTTGATAAACAAGGTGATATTGTGATGAGAACTGTCTGCGAACAAGCCAAAATTGTAGACAACAAATTTACGTGAATGTTCACATCCCGAATCAGGGTCATGAGAAAAAACACAATTACAAAGCTTAACCTTGAGCAACTCACCAACCAATCACAGCACACCTAACGTGTGCAAATTCGATTCGCATATATATGGCTTAACTTTCTAAGAAACAGTCCAAAGGCAATATAGAATCACCTTCAGCAAGAAAACGACCAATCAGGAGACGTTGATTCGCCACTAACAATAACGCTTATAATAATGCACATTAAAAATCTATAAATACCTTCCGATTTTCTCAATAAACGATTTGTTGTCTTCTGTCGTTACAATATTATGCTAAAATAGGACTTAGCACGGACGTGTATCAGCTCAAACTGCTATACTTCGCAGATACCCAAGAGTCCAGTCTGTTCAACCGTTAACGGTTGAAAGCAGAAGACGGGAAAAGATTTTAACACACACGCACCTACGTTGAATTGTTCACTTTAGGTTGGAGAAAATGGTAGACATGTAAAGGCAGAAGAAAAGAGACTTCTCCTTACAGAATGCTTATTTGGAATCAGATATCTCTATGTGTAGGCAAATTATCTACACCTTATCCTCGTTTACACACAGATCTACCGTGTTGTGCCATTTCTATCCTTCGTAGTGTGTTCCTGCTTTTTCTTTTTTTTGTGCCTCCCATGTTTTGCTGCCATACTGGCTTATTTCTCCTCTTGAACGTTAAATCTATCTCTCCACTATTTGATATTTCTGTGTGGCGATGAACATCTCTTTACCTACCTACTGATAAATCTTGTTAGTAGCACAAACCAAAGATGGTAGTGTGATTAGAAGCAGCCCTAAGTAGATGTATGAGATGTATGTGATAAACATACTAACTGGTAGGTAGTCTTGTATGATGAACAAAGTCAAGTAATTTGGAATTAGGTAGAAAAGAGCACACAAAAAATTGAAGCGTGCTCACACCGAAATATGTCAAGAATCCACGAAGTTATTAATTATCTGATGAATCAATCACCTACGAAAGTGTGAGTTATCTGACTGAGGTACTCAATGTGCTAAAAGAAAAGAAAAATCAATGACTAGAGAGTACTAGTGAAATAACTTAATTCTAAGTTAATTGGTGGATGGTGACTAGCAGTGGAATCCACCAGGACGCACATTTCGCCCCATTTGGGACTCGTCAACTAGTGGATGTGCCTGCATTCCCCAGTGAGCGATGATGTTCCCACCGAATCTTGAACCCAGTGCCCATAGTTTCAAATGCCAAAGCGTTATCCACTAATTATATGCCCAGACATTGTCGAAGCATTTGCATAAGAAGCCGACATGTCAACCTGACACAAGCGCTTAGGTCCAATCTATCGACGGGGTAAAATTGAAAATTGAATTAAATAACTGGATTCTGTTAATAACGGTACAGGCCCATTCACTTGTTATATAACCTTCACGGAATACTCAACACCATTATTCTGCATGCAACTGTTCTGTCTGTCTGTTTTCGACATAGAACTTTGCACATATGTGCGGAAGTTCAAGTCGCCACACTCCCTCCATGTAGCACACAAAGCAAGAGATGAAAGTAGGAGAAATGCATAATATAGACAGTAAACAGAGGTGTGAGACAAAAGGAATAGTAATAACGAAGAACAAAACAGTTTCATTAGAAATCATAAGTCACAAGAAGTGGATGCATCTGCACCAGCCATTGAGAACGATTTTGAGCCATGTCACCAATTGTTTCCAACCATTGGTTTTTACCGTCCCGAGGACCCCAACCAGGAAGCCAGTCTACACCTCCCTACGTGACTGGTTTAAACTAACTGTTGTGGATTTCATTGACTGATGAGACCATGTTTGGTTTGACCAACTCTAACAGCTCTTTTCCAGCCTGGCCCTATATCAGCTAACATCGCGATGGTTAGGCATACGTAACACATGTCCTAACCATCTCAGTCGATGCAATTTTACAGCCTCGTCGACTGATTTCCCCTCCCATCTACCTAGCACTCCACGCCTAACCTCAGTACTGCTCACCTTATTATACCACTTCACACGGGAGATAGCAGGCACCTATGATCAAAGACAGCTAATCTTTTCATGTCTTCCGCTCTCAATGGCCATGTCTCACAGTCATAAAGGAGGATGGAGCGGATCGCTGAGCAGTACACACGCCTCTTCGGATATCACGTCTACGCCAGAGACGGCGTAAACTGGCAAATGCGAAACTAGCCCTCTGTGTCCGTACTGAGATTTCGTTAGAGATCAACCCGTTGAGGCTGATGGTACTTCCCAAGTAAGTGAGGCGGTCAACGTGCTCTACCACTTCACTCCCTGTTTCTAATCTAGGAGTTGGTGTAGTCCAATCATGTAGAATCATCTTGCATTTGGCGCGAGCGAATCGCATGCCAAACATTCGAAGATTGCAGCTCAAGGTGTTCAGAAGACTCTGCAACTGTTCTGTTCATTACCAAATATTGTTGTCATATATGAGAAATAATATAAAAATTGAAAAATATTATTTAGGTATTATAAAAACATTAACTTGATACAATAGTTTTATACAATCAAGTGAATAAAAAGAAACTAACCATGAGAAAGTGTTTTGAAGTCTAAACGACGCTTTGTAATACCTCCTGAATGATGCTGTGTTGTAGGAAGAGAAATACAGCCATGAAAATGGTGAAAACTAAATTAATATTACCTTTTTTTCAACTTTCTGTATATGTAATCTCAAAGTGGTTTTCAAGTCATTCAAGAGGACATATAATCTGTCTGGATTGGAAACAATGCCTGTAATACATTTATCTAATAGTGTTTTAGCAGTTTCTGATCTCTGAAATTCACAGCTTGTCTGAAAAAATTTTCTCTTCAATATTTCAGCGATTTGTTCATCACTGTTTGGTAAGTATTTTCGAAGTGTTTTCTCAAACTGTGTAACAAACAAACAAACAAACGATAAAATAAAACAAAGCAAATGAATGGATAGCGGAAAATTTTCAAAACACACGAAGAACGCTTTTCTCTCTTGAATAGCATTAAAGGTAATCAACATTTAGAATTTAATCGGTGGATGGTGACTATCAGTAGTGGAATCCAGGATGCGTATTTCGTCCTATTTGGGATTCGTGTCAGCTGGATGTACCTGCATTCCCCATTGAGTGATGATGTTCCCAATGAGGCTCGAACCCAGCGCCTAAAGTTTCATCACTCACTCACCGGGGAATGCAGGTACATCCAGCTGACACGAATCCCAAATAGGACTAAATACGCAACCTGGATTCCGCCACTGATAGTCACCATCCACCAATTAAATTACATGGCCAGACATCATCGAAGCATCTGCACAAGAAGCCGACATGTCAACCTGAGACCGAGCACTTCAGTCCAATCAGTCGACAGGAAAATCTAAAATTCAATTAAGTAATCACTATTCACGCCACCGACCCCCCCCCCCCCAACTGATGCATAGGGAAGTTTATAGCATAAAGTATAAACTTGTGACACTTCGTTGGACGACGAATTACTCAACGTCGTTGCCAAGTGAATTTCAAAAATCAAAGAGATAAGTAACAGCTATACTGAGTCTGCAAAATATGTAGCATTATTGGGAGAGAGAACTTTGAAAAGGGAGTGAATTTTACACACTCTTGTTTAATCTCGACTTTGGTTGTGTTATACACTTTAAAAGTCTATAGACTAACTTTAACTCAGTTTATTCTGGTCGAAGTTAGTTTCCTTTATAGTTTTGAGTTTATTTACTCACAGGGAGTGTTTTCTTATAACACTGTAGTTATTATATAACCAATTTTTGTAAAAGCATTGATTTTTATCGTTGATTTATACAAAAATTGTTTTCAACAGTCATATTTGAATCCTACAGTCATAGTTCACCTTGAAAAGTATGCCTGTCAAAAGAAACTGCTACGGAAGAGTTATGTGTCCATTCCCAGTTGAAGAGGGCATGCAATGTGATAGTTGCAAGTGTTGGTTTCACAGTATGTGTACAATCCTAACTCTTGCAGTATACAAGCGCTGTTGCAAACCTCTGGAAAACTGTCTGTGCAATGAATACTGAAGTACGACTGAGTTTCGCACTAAAGAAGCCACTGCCACGCTCACTGCCGGCATTAAGGCTCCTGGACTGCAAAGGTCCTCCACCACAGTAGAAGAGCGACAACCGCTTAGAGACTGAAGACGCGGCCAAAGTCATTGACAAGATAATACTCATTCTCGACACATCTCTGTCAGGGAGTGAGTGCCCTTAAGCACAGAAAAGCACCCACCATAGCTCAGACACCCACGCTGCCCCTACGATACCCGATAAACCCTTCAGTGCCAGTAATGAAAAGACGACAGAAAACTGGCACGAGAAAAAGGCGTGCCAGGGGTCAAAAACCCACAGTAAAAGTCACCAACGATGTTTTGCATCAAGCCTCATCCACACAGGTGGATAGACACCACCAACAGCATCAGGTGTCACTATACGCAGCTTGTACAGAATCAGCCAAAAGGCTGACTCTACAGTAAATCAGACGGTACGACTTTTTAAAGTCATACTAAACTCAAAAATAGAGCGGGATGCCATACTAAGTAACTCCCAAACTGTTAAAGGATCAGGCATATAAGTCCGTGCCGACTTATGCCTAGCAGACCACATCAAAAGATAGTCTGCAGCTCTTGAATTAAGCGAACAGCGCCGAAACGGCGAGAAAAACCTTAAGACTAAGGGATTTCGAGTTGTCAAAGTCGCAAGTTTGATGATCCCGAAACCTCTGTGAATAGGCCTCGGAAGCACCGAAAATTAGTTAACGCTTTGCTACACAAATGCCCGCAACCTGTTAAAAAGCGGACTGAGCTGGGTAATATGATAGACTCCGGAAATCCGGATATAATAATCATCACAGAGACATGGCTGCCATCTGATGTCACTGATAACGAAATTAGCCTACCAAACGTCAGAGTGCATATGGCGGACCAGATAATCTGCAAATGAAGTGGCGTAGTCATCTACCTGAAGAAATGCCTAACCGTGCATAACACTGAAACTCTCGCATACGGGAATGGAACGTGCAAACGACGCTGCAGACTTAAATGTATAGGCCATGATATTGACCACATTGCTGTATACCGCAGTACTGACTGCAATACAGACGACTTCCTAATAGAGAAGGCTCCTGGACAACGAAATGCTGAAGTCTCGTAGTCGGCGACGTTAACACCCCAACAGTTCCCTGAACAAGCCTTACAACGCCATCTTCAGGCAACTCCGTTGACTATAAACTGCCAGAATCTAGCATTTCTCTAGCCCTAGCCCAAAATGTCATGAAGCCCACACTCAATAACTCACAACACTCCTCTTCAAACCTGAACCTAGTGTTCTCCCATGGTGAGGAAGTGGACCTCATACAACATCCTCCTTTAGGAAGAAGTGATCACGCTGTGCTCACTTTCAAGTTCACAGCACCAGCATCATGGGCCAAAACCCAAGCAGAACCAAACGTTTGGAAAGCTGATATAAATGCTATCGTCTCAGCAGCCAATTCGTTGAACTGGTATATAAACCCAGAGTCACAAATAAGAGCCTCGTGAAAGCAATATGAGCAACTTCACACTCAAGTAACCGAACCTTTCATCCTTTGATCTGTCCCAAAGGGTCGGGAACATTTTCTCCCATGGATAAACTGAGAGATTCGTAAATTACTCAGATGTAAACATATGTGCTGGAACTTATTTATTACACTTTAAACTTCTGAGACCAGAAAGTTATACAATGTCGCCAGGAAAAAAGCTATTGCGGAAATCCGCCAATCAAGGATGAAGTTCGAAGCACATCTGGCTCAAAATGCAAAGGCAAAAACTAAGAAAATTTTCTCGTACACGAACTTCAGGAATAAAACACCTAATGGTGTCCCAAACGTGACTATTGACAATGACACAATTGAAGAAGATCAAGAAAAAGCAGAAGCAATGGTAGACTACTTCTCCCAAGTCTTTACACAGGAGTCGTTACACCCCCATAGGATCAGCTCTGGCTCTATCAGAGGAACACGGGATAGATTCCGTTGACGTCGACCAAGACATCGTGCTCAACTGCCTACAGAAACTGGATGTAGGGAAATCAATAGGTCCTGATGATCTTCATCCAAGGCTTATCAAGGAGCTATCAGCTCACATAGCCGGCCCACTGACTGCGATCTTCAAGCTATCTGCCTTATTGGTGTCACCGCGCGATTGGAAAGATGCCATAACAACAACCCCCCCTCCGCAAAGGAGGATCAAGACAATGCCATTTAGATTACAGGCCTATTAGTCTCATTGACACCATCAGCACCAGAACCTTAATCAAGGTACAGGAAAGAATCATCAAGAAAGCTGTCATGGCATATCTGGAAAACAACAACTTGTTGTCCAGAGTACAGCATGGCTTCCGAGGAAACCTCTCATGCTTGTCAATTCTCGTGGTAAAAGAAAGCCGCGTCAAGTCAAAGGACAACAGAAGACCCGTAGAAGTCGTCTTCATAGACTTCAGTAAGGCCTTCGATAGTGTCTCACAAAAGACTACTCACGCATTTGGAAAGTCTTAGAATCAAAGGCACTTACTCAACCGAATTTGTGAATTCCTCATATGTAGGAGATAGAGGGTCAGGATCAACTAAAAACTCTCCTTCTGGACAACAGTACGTAGTGGAGTGCTACAAGGCATACTATTTGGGCCTCTCTTATTTATTTGGTATGTCAGTAAGTTATTTGTGCTCACGGATTCCCTAGTGGTCCTATACGTCGATGACCTAAAAATCTGGAGAGCTGAAGGGCGACAGTGATACGATCACGTTGCAAGACCTCAGAAAACTATTAGATTGGCCCAAAGAATGGATGCTTCCGATCAACGTAGCGAAATGTGCAGCCATGCGCACTGGACACGCAAGCATCAGATGCTACGAACTACAGAGAATAACAATCCCATCAGTTCAGACTCATTTAGATTTAGGTGTCATAGTTAGTCACGATTTAAAAACTACAGTACACTGTCACGCGGTGGCTGCATTTAGTTTCAGATCCTAATGTGCAATCTGCAAATTGCACATCACTATAATCACTACACATGTTTACCTCCTTGTGTACATCTCTGGTGAGGTCAAGACTGGAAAACTGTATCCAGGCAGCCAGCTCTTGTATTGGAGGGGACCCACATATTCTAGAAAGGGTTCAAAGGGAGACAACATGTATGATTCCTGGCAAGGCTAACTTATCATGCGAGGAAAGACTAGACAGTTTAAATCTCTTCTACCTGACATACCGTAGGCAGAGAGGAGACTTAATCACAAAGTTTAAAATTTTAAATAATGATTACGGACCTGATCTATTTTCTCTTTTCCTTTTCACCAGGTAGGAACACCTTAGAGAACATAGCAGGATAATTCAAAAGCCAAGTAGAAACTATAATGCTGTTGAGTACTGGTTCTCGCACAGTCATAAACTCCTAGAACCGACTCCCAGAAGAAGCGGTGTCAGTGACCCCGACTGACTTATTCAATAAGGGTGTGGACAAGCACAGAAATTTACTAGGAAAGGATTAACTTGGGCTTCAGAACTCAATCAAAAAACCTGAATCTGAACCAGGAATTCAAGTACGAATGATCTCAATGAACTCGAACACTGGCAGATTTTAGAGTGCGAGTAAGTGGAATAATAAAGTTTTTTCGTTTAATTTGCAGATTTTTTGACTTTTCCTAAGTGAAGCGGACGATATTAAAAAGACTCTGATATAAAATACCGTCTCACATAAGTATATTAATTCTACTTATCACCAATCTAAGGACCATCTACAACTTTTATTGGCACATTGCGAAGACAAAGTTGTGGCTAGCACAATTGTAGAAAATAGCGAAAGACGATTTATCACAACCGAGACTATGAGACGGTTAGCGATGATATGCGAGTTCCTCAGGAGTACCAATATGGCAAGTGAAAGAGGACTTGAAGGTCTGGGTCGTACACAGTAGAGAAACAATATTCTGAAAGTAATGTGATCACCTAGTTCTAGCGGTCGGTCGGTTTTCGACATAGAACTTTGCACATATGTGCGCCAGTTCAAGTCGCCACACTCCCTCCTTGTAGCACACAAAGGAAGAGAAGAAAGTAGGAGAAATGCATAATATAGACAGTAAACAGAGGTGTGAGACAAAAGTAGAGTAATAACGAAGAACAAGTTCTAGCAGAAATATGTTAGGCTAATAATGCATTCTGTTTGACTCTGAAATTTGAAACCAGTCCACCTGTGTTACACACGAAGCTCAAGCTCTAAAGATATAACAGTTTCAGAAGTGATCGAGAATTACTGGTACTTGGTATACATTGAGATTCAGATAATAAGGATAGTAGGCTCTTAATGCCTGTTAATTCTTCCCCTCAGGATATCTGACATACTGAAAAATAAACAGTTCTATCCGGTAAAGCGGATGATTAGAGGCATTAGGGAGAAAACATCCTCAGCCTATTCACAAACTTTATATCCAATATCATTTCTACGAGCTATTGTAAACGAGCTAGTGATTTCTTTGTGCTCGTTTCTTGATTGTGAGGTATGGGTTCAAGGTTTATATGTAAGCTTTAGTATAAGCAAAGAAAAATGTGCTCAACAGGCTAATAGGACGGGGGAAAGACTGCACAAAGACTGGGCCGACTCTCAGGTAGACAGTCTCTTGAAAAACAACGAGGTTTGCGACATATTAAGCTGACTGACGAAGGCCAGTGCTAGGCACTAAGTATAATGTACACACATGACTATTGATAAACTTCCAGCATCTTTTTAAGTAACCTACGTCACCAAATAATCCAAGTACTTTCGAAAGCTATAAGAGATTTTTGAAACCAACAATAGAGCTGATTGTGTAAACAAGTATTGACCGCACTGAACATCTCAGATTGTCGGAAAAGACGACAAGTGCCTCATACACGAACACCGGGACCATGTGGATTTTAAAACATAAATTTATAGAAGGCCTTAAGCTTTTGCTATCTAAATCGAATCGGATAGCATTCTCTTAATCTTAATCTCAAGGTCACTTCTTTACACGTAGGAACCCAGTCTTGCCCCATTTTGCTTACAATGTCTGTTAGCGACCCTAGAACAGGAACTACAAAATTGATCATTATAACTGAACGAGTATCTTGAACATGGTGACAGAATAACATACAAGCCTAGTAATTTAAGTAAAACTCACATCGTCCCAATTGCTACCCATTTCGAATGGACGCCTAATAATTAAATATTCAATGACAGAATATTCACGCAATTCAAACTTTTGCCCTGTCGGTGAAACTTAGTACGTCTTTTATGCTATAAAGCGAGAAGTTTCTTTTCTTGCATTCATTTTTCTAGAGAAAAAGTGCGGGTGTTGATAAACTGTAACAATAATCAGGCGACCTTGAAAGAATAATGCGAATACAGGACTGCAAATGCCTTCGAGATTGTTGACAAACTACGAATGTTCAAACTACTTAGTTGGATGGTTATTTGTTACCATAATTTGCAATCTTCGCTCTAATCCTAGGCCTTACTCCCAATCGTAACCTAAGTCTTATCCCGAGACACATGGCTGCGCATTTATGATGTGAGAAAAATGTCTGCTAGATTCATTAGGTAAATAATTTCACACCTTATAAAATCAAGCTGTAGATAGTTCACCTGGGTCCTAGTTCCTGTAGTTTCATGAATTTCTCCCACCAGGTTGCTTCTTAAGTCTGGATTTTATGAATAACAGCGGGTTCCATTCAGAGATGTGGTGAACAACTTGTAATGCCATATTCCTGTCAGTCTCCCGACAGGATCGGTCGGTCGGTTTTAGACATAGAACTTTGCACATATGTGCGGCAGTTCAAGTCGCCACACCCCATGTAGTTAGTTTCGTTTCCTCAGTAGAAAGCAGGCAGTCACCCTTAAATACAATTATCCAAAGCTGCTTAATACCTACTCATCTTTTTCAATTTACAGGATAAAGATGGGTAGGTATTAAGCAGCTTTGGCTAAATGTATTTAAGGTGACTGCCTGCTTTCTACTGAGGAAACGAAACTAATGATTTCTTTTTGTGTCGGAGCATTTAGAGTTTTTTTTTCATTCTGTTTAGTAAACCCGAATTTGTTAGGTAGGCTCTTAAGTATGTAGGATATAAAATAATGGTTGGAAACCACTTATGCATAATAGTAGTGCTTTCCAATGGCATCGAAGTGATATGGACAATGGTCGTCATTTTTGCTCGTTTGTGGATAAACTCATCAGTTGTTTATTCAATGCAACTCATCTGACAGAACCAAGTCAATTTAAACCACCTTATTACCTGATGTGGCTGATGCATTCCCCACTGCCATGATTTCTGTTACTCCCAGAAATAACTGTCAACAACGAAACTGTCAGTTAAGCGATTATCGACGGTGAGACACATCAAAATTTATCTTTCTATGTAAAAGACTGCAGGACGGCACATAGATTGGAGCGAAGAGTGGGTGGTTATTCGACAGGGCGTTGTGCATTGTGTCCATAGGGGGTTTTGTAAACTTCAGTTAAAATTGGTTTCAGTTACCAGGAATGAAAGGGGTGGCGCGATTAATAAATGGTGAATCTCTTGATACTTAGCTTCTAGGCCGCCTGCTTAAATCACTGGGCTACCAAAATTGCTTTCCATCAAAATTCCTAATTTCCTGTGGATTTATCACTATTTCAGTTGCTCAAATATGTCAGATGACCTTTACATCATTTTGCTCGTTGATTTCACTTACTTTTAAGTAGATGCTTTGCAATTCCTCAAAAGAATTAAGGTAAACTAAATAATATTACTTAACATGAAAATCCTGTATGAAGAAAAAACATTTTGAAAGTAAATACGCTGAAACCTTTTGTACCTTATGTTCAAACATTGTCTGAAATAGAACTTTATTATTACCTTCAGGTAAGTTAAACTCCACAGCATAGTGGTTGGCACAAAGTACAGATTTACCAATGATTTTTTAGAGATAAAAATTCCACCAGATTACGTTAGCTCGTGACAAAACACCGATCCAAAAAATGAATTCTCTGATTAATCCTGAAACCGTGAATTCCAGATCCTCTCCAACACCTATGAGCACCCACACTTTTACTGAGGTAGAACAAAAGAGTGTTGATCTGTATACTCAAAGTACATCATATTTGGATACGAACTTTCTTGAAAATATAAGGTCTAAAAATAGTCCAATGTATAGCTGTACACTGGAAGCAATCGATTATAGACCTAGGCTCTTTTCATATCGATCCCTGTACCCCAGAGACACTACAGTACGTCACACCCTGTATTCATCAGTCCAAGTAGTCACAGCTTCAAAGTTAAACTTCCGGCACCACTAACTGCCAATCGGCAAACGACCTTCAACGGACCAATCACATGAAAGAGGGGTTTTTGATAAAGTAAAACGTAAATTTGTGGAAAAAAGCATAAAATATGCATGAAAGTGTCACATAGGGTATCTTTCTCTGAGAGTTAAGCATAGGACTGTCAGTAGAAAAGTCACATCACATTCTGTACATATATTCATCCCAATGACTATAGATGAGATCCTTTCGAGATCCATGTATAGCCCTGATCCTATTTTTCAATCTTCCCCAAAATCCTTCGATAGAATTAGTATGTATCGTCGTAATAGGATCTACCTAATCACTGGAATGGTTAATAATTTATTTATTTATTTATTTAAACGCAGAAAAACTTCTTACAATATGGCACCAAGAAAGATGCGCCACACAATAATAATAAAACAACATAGATTAAAAGTAAAAATATAGGTAGAAAACGAATAAAGAACTTCATCAAGAAGGAAAACAGTCATGTTTAACAAGTTCAAACAGTATTCGTTAACTATCATCAGGAAGGAAAGAAAGAAGGAAATTGCAGCACTTTCGCCATTGATTACGATTCTTGGCCATACCCGATAACGTTTCGAGCCATCGATTGGAGCTATTTCGCGGACCCCAACCAGGGAGTCGTGACACACCAACAGATGCTAATCTAGCACAAATATCCTTCATCCCACGACGCCACGTCATGGACTGACCACCCCTCCGCCTTTTCCATCCCGTCCCAGGGCTAGCGAACAGAGACCTGTACGGAAGCCTCCGGGATGACATTCGCAGCACATGTCCAAGCCACCGGAGCTGGTGTTTCCAGATGACGACACTCAATGAATGGCAATCTCCACTGTGTTCAAACACACGCCGCCGAACCTCAGAATTACTCCCGCGGAGACAGCGATGATCGAACACGCAGAGTCGCCACACATCCTCAGCTCGGAGAGGCCAGGTTTCACAGGCGTAGAGCAAGACAGCCCGCACCGAAGCATTGTATACCCGACCTTTGACAGCCAGGCTAACATCGCGACGGCGCGATTTCCGGAACACAAACCAGCAATTTTTACAGGCATGAGCATATGTGCACTAATGAGAACTTATAGAATATATAATATGACTTGTTAATCTAGAAATAGATTGAATACTGGTTAATGTGAGAAACATTTTAAAAAAATGCACAGCTAAGGAAATAGATGATTTAGGAGATCTGCAGCAAATACGTCACAGTCTACTCATGAAACGCGGTATGTCCAACGTTCGCGTTACATTTTTGCGTGATTCGTTACATAAAATTCATCTTGTTGTAATACTTGCACAAGTACTCTACTACCTCTATGCCTATAACTAATGACTCTCATACCAAATAGTTATGGTTAACCAAAGTAAAAAGCAACGAACTCAATCCCCTGTAAATCTGATGACTAATTTTAAGTCGCTGATTGCTAAATCAAGCAACGCACTCCCTACAAACGGTTATAGTGAGCCACAAAACTCACTTGTATGTCGTAAGCGTCGAGCTGGAACTGAGTATAAAACTGCACTGACAGCTAGTATTAGCACTACTCCCAAAAATTCAGTACCCTCTGCTCATTCAGAAACCCTCCGTTCACCTTATGTACTTATCGTAAAGCTCCAGCCTTCAAGCTCTGTTTCAGAACTATCTCCTGAAATAGAGCTTCTAAAGTTGTCTATAGGAGAACTTAAGGCTGAGTTAAGGGAAATAAAAAACAAGTCAGTAAATCCTGGAATTTCTGAAACCAATACCAAAATATCCAAATTATCAGATCAGATCAGCGATATCAGATCGCAGGTCTGTGAACTGACACCTTTAACTATCCTCATGAAAACTGTAGACCTTAACAAACTTGAGAAGGAATCGGTATCTAAGGTGGATAACCCTATTAACTTTGTTACTACAGAAGTAACAAAACGACTCGATGCTAAACTAAATGCTGTTGTCTACAACGTTCCCGACAATGAGGCACTAAATAAGGTACAGCGCATCTTACGTAGTGAGGCGAAAATGCCCAACTCCAAGACTAAGTGCTACAGGCTGAAGAAGAGTCAACATGAAAATTGTTGTCCTATTCGTTTTCAGTTCGAAACACCGGCAGAGGCCAGAAAATTTATCCACTCCCAACGCACCCTATCGCAAGCCAGAAATTACAAACTAATAAAGGTTGCGGTGGACAAGACCGACATAGAAAGGCGCGTATATAATTATCACACTGAGTCTAATTGTGGAATAAACAACAGGACATTGCAAGCAGCAATTATACCCAACCCTTTGAGAGATACCGTAGAATCCACCGCACCACCCCTCTCTAACCACACAGAATTATCTTCTCAGAGAGCAACACCAACCGAAAGGCCACAAGATTGTAGTCAAATAGCCAATACAACTATACCGCCTATCACCGTAGATATAGACATGTCACTAAATAATCCCGGAAAAAAGTCAAAATCCCCCGAAAGTCGACCCTGTCCTCTCCTAGCCATAAGTCCATTGGTAAAAAAGATAAGAATATGACCCCAAATCATGCCAACAACAACAACAACAATGGCAGTATAAATAAGCCCACATTCCCCACGGTCAATAATACTGGCACCCACAACGTGCGAAATAGCACCATGGCCCACACTGATAACCAACTCCAAAACAATGGCACCCTCAAGAGTACAAGTGACAATAGTCAGAACTCGACCACCAACAACTCAGAGCATTCACAGTATGGCACACAAATAAATTTTGATCGGATATATGGTACAAGTCTGCTGGGAACTAACCCACAAAGCAGTACACACGAAACCCTTACAAGGACACCACTAGTACCTAATCATAGGTGGAATAATAAACCATGGTCATCACAAGGTCCCAATC